GATTATATACGTTTTTTAATTTAAAATTATAGCATTTTTTTATGTAATTAATTTACACACATTGCAATTATTCTATTATTAAATAAGACAGAGGGGAGACGATTTTTGCAAATAGCATATAATCATGATCTCCGTTATAATCGTAAAAATATTATAAAAGCGGTCTCGTAATCTCGTTTGAACATTTCATTAAATTCGCCGCATTTTTGCGATTTTCTATTAGGCTGTAAAATGTTTGGTAGAAACATATAATCTTGAGAATAACAAGTATTAGGAATTTTTCGCGCAACATTATCGAGAACGGATTAATATTTATCGCCTGTTATCCGCATTGAAAAAAATATCAGATGACAATTAAACAAGCTTGATAAGCATCAACCTGATTTGATAAAAGATTAGCCGAGCAATGCGATTCGTTGATTCGGATCATAAAACTCGAACGGGAACATATCGGGCATTAGCGCAATAAAGTCTGGTAATACATGATTACACAACACGTGACGAACGTTAACGAGATGAATCATTTATCATTCTCGGTGCGGAAGCATTAATGCTATTTTTTTTTCTCTTCCAACTATTCATTATCTATAAATTTTATCCTTGTCCATATATTTATTCTCCCTCGATACCGGGTGTCGATATCGAGTATCGGCAATTGATCCCGTTGCGATTCAGACTATTCGGCCGATGTGGCGCCAAGCGGTAAAGAGAGACGATTCCGATTGCGTGTCTCCCGCGTCGCGCTCTATCGCACGAGTCGCAGCGTGTACCAATGTGCATATGATGCATGTTATTAAGTATACGTGCTCTGTGCGAAAACGAGAGACGGGACGAGACGAGACGCGATGGGCAGAGAGAGAGAGACAGAGAGAGAGAGAGAGAGAGAGAAGAGAGAGAGAGAGAGAGAGAGAGGACGCGTATACAGCCGGTGGTGCCCTAGTTGGGTATTGATCCGTGACAGTGGGAGTCGCTCGTTAGAGGTGGCTAGGTCGTAGGTCGCATGCGCGTTTCCACCGATGATTCCGTGTCTCCATCATCGACCCGCGGCCCGAGAGAAATAGAGCCGAATCGGCGAGAAATGCCGGCGAGACGACGAGTTGAGGGATGGCAGAGGCGACGGGTCGAGTTGGAAGGAAATGGGGAAAGTAAAGCGAAACGTGGGAACGAAAGGGAGGGACTGATAGGGCTTGGATAGGTGCGAAATTATCATCCGGTTGCACCGCCCCCGAATGGTACGGTACCATCGCGGCGCCTGGTCTCTCTCAGCTGGCAAGTGCTTCGCAGATCACCCTTTAAATCGCATCGTGAATGCAAGGCTTGGCGTTCGAAATTCCCCAGAAATTTAAACGGCAGTGGAGGAGGATTTAAGGCCGCTGCAATATGGTGGTGAAATGGATTGCAATTGAGATTCGGGGAAAAGTACGGCTACGTGATGTAGAAAATAAAATGTTGAATTTCAAATCGGAAAGTAGGATCGCGGTGGAGGGATTGGTTGTATAAAAAAATGTGCATGATTGATGATAATTGCATCTTCCAGATGCATCTTGTTGTATTTTTATTCGCCCATCGCGAATTAAAAGCTTAAATAAATTACTCGGTCTATATAGAGGGCTTCGATGTGTTTTAAACCGGCACTGGCGACGACACGCGACGCCGACCTGCATGTGACGCCGACATCGCCGCGTCGTCGCGATTGCCGTCGACGCCGACGGCGACGTCGGCGCCGCGGCGCGATCGTTGAAAGTTAATCCTTAATGCCTTAAGTCAATGCCTCGATGCGGCTTCAAATGCGCTCGTGCGCTTGTTTCTTTTAATTAATTTTAAGAATTCATTTAAAATATCATTGTTTTTAATTAGAGGCACAAACGAGAGCACAGGCAAGATAAATAATTGTTTATCTTACTAACTAGATTTGAAAATAAAAAAAGAAATGTGAAATAAAAAAATAAAAAATTAATTAATATTACGTATATCTAAGTGTAATACAATTTTAACGTTTTTAAAGCACAGTGTAAAATTTATCGTTCAATTTTTAAAATAATGGATTAATCTTACGCGCAAAAATTGATGCAATTTATCAGCAAGTTGTTATTTTGTGTCGAAATACCGCAGGATATGTTAATCAATATAAAGCGCCAAAAATACAACTTGTTTCACATTAGAATTTAAGGAATGGAATCCACTCGTAAAAAATCTCTAAATTTTATCAAATAGGAGTCTTTGTGACGAAACAAGTGCTCGATTTTTGTTTCTATCGCTTGTCGTTCCATTTCAAAATATCAAAATATGTGATGAGAGAATGCGGAGCATGTCAAGAGTTTATAAACGCAATCTAATCGTCGAGGTCCGACACGCTTTCCTGCTCGCCGCCAAAGCTCGACTACTTCCGCTTTTAAGCGAGCCAGCCAGCTCTGTAACTCGACCCGTAAATGATACCGATCCGCGCAAATTTGCATAAGGTCGAAATCGCGTTCATCCTGCGCCTGCGAGGACGTACTAGTTCACATTTCTCGGTCCATATCGCGAACGAGAACATTTTTCGGTACGATGCCGATGCGATCCAATCTTCCAAAGATTCAACATCATTTGAAATGTTTTAAAAATTTAAATATTTTTAAATTAAATATTTCAAAATTAAAAATTAAGAAACTGATTTTCCTGTTCTACATTTTTTATATTTTTCTTATCAGTTTGGCGTGCATTTAAAACTTGAAGTAGAAAAGAATTATTCGATTTCTGAAAATTAATCTCTACAGCAAAGAAAGGTAAATTAATGTTGATTTTAAAGTGAAGAATCGTTTTTAGATTCGAGTATATAAGATGTGTCGGGGAAGTTTCTTATTTACTTATCGTGAATCGGCGCGAGTCTCTCGCGCAGCGCGAACGCAAACGCGGGCAGACGTGCCGTCGTACGTACGCGTACAATCAGCCGAGGTGCGTATGTGACGAATTGCGTAATCGTGCTTCCTCAATGACGACGTGAGCGAGCGACGAGATGGGCCAGTGGTAATGATACCTGCGAAATTGATCGTTTACATATACGAGCCGGCGGCGACGGCGGTCGCGAATCGGACGGCGCGCACAGACACGTAACGCGCAGAGCCAGAGTTACGTTCTCTCTTTTCATTTTTCACGATCTCGTAACCGCCGATTCGCCGACGCGGCGGTCGTTTTATCTAATCGACCGCATAACGAGCCACCGTGACAGAATTAATGAGCGCGCGCAGCAATTGCAACTCGTGGCAAAGCGCGCTGTCCGCGTTGTCAAATGAGTCTCGCGTTTCGTCGGTTATTCCATCCGGTACGTGAGAATATTGTCATTCTTTTACAGCCGGCGTTAACGTCGGTATATCTCCGTGTAAAAAAAAGAACTGTATGCGCTGGTAAATGCGTTCACTTTATATTTTAGGAATACTTGAGACCGCCGCGAAATAGCGGCGTGTGTAACGCGAGACGATAATACAATTTCGCCAACACTTCGAAGTCAGCACGGATGCGAGTCAGATTACTTGCTTACTGTTTATATTTTAGAAGTACAAAAATATATCTCTTTTTCCACTAATATTAACGTTGAAAAGACACTTCTCGTTATTTGTCTTGCGTTTCACCGGTCTCATAAATGCGCACGTTACGAGACAATTTTTAGAACTGACGCGAAATCTTGCAAAAATAGAAAATTGAGGCTGCAGAAGCTTGAAAAGCTCGCAAATGTATTCCGCAAAGAAATTCACACGTATTATATAACAGAATAATTGACTGTCGCGCAGCAATTTTCCACCCGTTTTTTTTTCTTCTTATATTCAAAGAAAGCGAAATAACCCCGAGATTTGTAGAACTTCGTCCGCGCGAAGACCGCATGGGTAAGGTTTCGCCGCTAATCGCGATCGGCGACGGGGAGCGCGAGGGAGAGGGCGAAGTACGGCGCGTCGCGTGGGTTCTCGTAATCGCGATTACGGGATACCATTGAGCATCGGGCATAGTGGAGTGTGTGACGGGGAGTGTGCGTGCACTACCGGAAGCGGTCGTTATCCGAACGCGGTCGCGCCGAGGTCGCTCTTGAAAATCGGGCCTCTGCTCCACGCATCGCGGATGTATCTCTCTCTCTTTCAGCGCGACGTCACGTGTCGAATGCGCGCCGGCCACGTGTCTCTCTCGCTCGTTCTCTCTCTCTCTCTCTCTTTCTCTGTCTCTCGTGAGAAGGTCGCAATTGCGCCCGCTACGACCGCGCGCGCTCTGTGGGAAAACTGGTCCATTCGGATGGCGCGCACCCGCGACATCGCACTGATCTATTTTCACAGTGACGCGTCTCTCGAAAATTCGGAGTAAAAAAAACCGGGAAGCTTTTGTATGAAACCGCAAATATTCGTTTGACTCTAAAAATGCAGTCCCCTGATGTCCGGCAGCATTCGCAGGAAGCGTTTTATCCGCGCGAGATCGTCGCGTGCAGATACACGTATCGCGCGCCGAGCTTTTATTATTTTACTTTATGTATTTATTCTCCATTTTCATTCATTCGTTCATTGAGCAGAATGCGAGATATTATTCGTCACTTATCTTCTTACGTTTCATTGATCCCGCAAACTCGCGCTGCGAGGATCAACTTCCAGACTGCTGAGCGCGGAATTTTGGGTCGCAGGGGGCGGGATCGAAGCCGTAGAAACTCACAAACTGATAAATCTACTCTACCGAACTTCACACACCACCGAATTCACAAATTAAAATATACGGAATGGAGTGATTATGTCACACAGCATTTCCCTTCGTTTTTTTTTTTTATTTGGCTCGCTTATGTTTGGAGAAATATCAGTCAATCCTCGACATTTGTACATCAAAACAAAAGATAACACAAGCTCGCCCCGCTCATGAATCATTATTATTTTCACAGCCATAATTTCGCCATTTATACATGCGTATGTTTTTTATTTCGATCGTTTGTAAAATTTTGTTACAACACCCGCATGGTTTATTCATGATTTTTTTTATCGCCCATTTTTTTCCAGCAGCATGGCCGCTCAGACTCATACAGGGTCGCCACGTTACCCAACATTCGCGACGACAACAAAACTGCAGATGGGATGTACAAGGTATACAGACGCGGACGCTTAAGTCCGCGCGAAAATTCTACGTAAATTAACACTTCCGGGTTTGGTACGCTTCTTCTTTGACCGGCGGATGGGACAAGCTCTCTGTTCTATCTTTCTGTCTCTTTCTCCTTTCCTCTCTCTCTCTCTCTCTCTCTCTCTCTCTCTCTTGATTCTATTTTCTGCTCTTTTCCGCTGATCTCCGTGATTCTATCATTTCTTCACGATGACGTCTATTGTCGTAACGCTTCTCTTCATTTATTACGCTTAGACAGGAATTTCCCCGAAGGAGATTCTCTTTTCTTCTACTATCGCCTCGGGATCTCTTCGGCTGTTCTTCGCGATCTTCGGTATCGACACTAGAAATCCGTGATCACCTTAACGCATGCTGAAAAAAACTCTTGCTTGATCGCGATTCGCAAGTCTTTGATTGAGATAGCGCTGTAATCACACCGCGATCCGCGAGAATTGGCGTGGAAGCGTCACGTTCTCGTAAGAAAGCGATCTCGTGTGCTCCGTTTGATAGCGATGGCGTAAGATGAGATAAAATTGCATCAAATCACGTAATAAAAGATAAAGATCCACTTGAATTCCACGAGGAATAATCTACAAATTTGATGTAGCTTCGCCGCGCGCGCGCGCTCGCTCGCTCGCTGGATCTTGGTTACTCATCAATTATTTTCGCTGACGTCGCATGACTCCGAAACATTCCTCTCATTCTAGTGCAATCCTGTCTCATCTTACGGCATATGGTATATCATTACAGCTCTCGGTTCACCTCGTCTCTCGATATCGTTGCAATCGATCTCTTCTACCACGAGGTTCTCTCTTTCGCTGTTTCTGTCGCTCGCCGCTGGACTTGTGTCTCTCGCAATTCAACGCGGCTCGATAATCTTTTTTTGTTCCTCCGTCAGTTATCACGAATAGTAATTCCGATTGACACGTCTCATGATGGTGTAATCGCCTCGGGGCTTTATATTACAGCTGTATATTATGATTGTGTACGCAGCGTATGTTGATATGGTGAAGGTATTATCGGCAAAACAAGCTTCCTCGATAACGCCCTCTCTCTTTCTCTGTTCCCGTTAACAGTCGCGGCGGAAGAACCCAAAGCGGAAGGGGGACAACCTAGATGACCTGAAGCAGGAGTTGGACATTGACTTCCACAAAGTCTCACCCGAGGAACTGTATCAAAGATTTCAGACGCACCCCGAAAACGTAAGTAGCACCTCGTCGTAGGATAATAATTTGTTCTTCTGAGAAATTGATGGTAGCAGATTGTAGCGCATCGATCGACGTTAACGCGTTGAGTGCCGCGATATGTAGAAAAATATCACAGACTATAGTCTCCTTCTCGTAAAAATGGAATATAAAGAGCGAAAGGATGTTAAGATAGAAATTATTTAACAACACTGAATACTGTTACGAAAGTATCCTACTTTTCCTCACATTTCTGTCTAGACTCTCAGAAATAAAATACTCTTTCGAAATCTAAAAAAAAGGAAATAATAATAAAACCATTGGCAAAATTGCGGTGAGAAATTTATTTGCGCTTTTTACAATTGCGTTGTTTAAAAAATTCTCAAATTTGTAGTTTTAAATGTGTGTGTGTTTTAGATATTCCAAACTACAAAGAAAACTATTTTTATATTTCTACAAAAATTCTCAACAATCTCTCTTTGTGCTCTAGAATAAAATATTCTCTTAAATGAGCGATAAAAAAGTGTATATATATGTGTGTGTGTGTGTGTGTGTGAATACATTTATATGATACTAATGAAAGCGAAACTAACAGGGCCTCAGCCACGCGAAAGCGAAGGAGAATCTGGAGAGGGACGGGCCGAACGCCCTGACGCCACCGAAGCAGACTCCGGAATGGGTAAAGTTCTGCAAGAACCTATTCGGCGGCTTCGCCCTCCTACTGTGGATCGGCGCGATCCTCTGCTTCATCGCGTACTCAATCCAGGCGACGACCAGCGAGGACCCGAACGACGACAATCTCTTCCTGGGCATCGTCCTCGCGGCGGTCGTGATAGTGACGGGTATATTCTCGTACTACCAGGAGAGCAAGTCGAGCAAGATCATGGAGTCGTTCAAGAACATGGTGCCGCAATTCGCCACCGTGATCCGGGAGGGTGAGAAGCTCACCTTGCGGGCGGAGGACCTTGTGCTGGGCGATGTCGTCGACGTGAAGTTCGGCGACCGGATACCGGCCGACATCAGGATCATCGAGGCACGCGGATTCAAGGTGGACAACAGCTCGTTAACGGGCGAGTCCGAGCCCCAGTCAAGGTCGCCCGAGTTCACGAACGAGAACCCGCTCGAGACGAAGAATCTCGCATTCTTCTCGACAAACGCGGTGGAAGGCACGGCCAAGGGTGTGGTGATCTGCTGCGGCGATCAGACAGTGATGGGCAGGATTGCGGGTCTTGCGTCCGGCCTTGACACCGGCGAAACGCCGATCGCCAAGGAGATCCATCACTTTATACACCTCATTACTGGTGTCGCTGTCTTCCTCGGCGTCACATTTTTTATTATAGCCTTTATCCTTGGTTATCACTGGCTCGACGCCGTTATCTTCCTGATCGGTATTATCGTGGCTAACGTGCCGGAGGGTCTTCTCGCTACCGTGACCGTGTGCCTCACTCTCACCGCCAAGCGTATGGCCTCGAAGAACTGCCTGGTGAAGAATCTCGAGGCCGTGGAGACCCTGGGTTCGACCTCGACCATCTGCTCGGACAAGACGGGAACTCTCACGCAGAATCGTATGACGGTCGCGCACATGTGGTTCGACAATCAGATTATCGACGCCGACACGACGGAGGATCAGTCCGGCTTGCAGTACGACCGCACCAGTCCGGGCTTCAAGGCGCTGGCCAAGATCGCCACGCTGTGCAATCGCGCCGAGTTCAAGCCGGGCCAGGATGGCGAACCGATTCTGAAGCGGGAGGTGAACGGCGACGCCTCCGAGGCCGCGCTGCTTAAGTGCATGGAACTGGCGTTGGGCGACGTGATGGGTATCAGGAAGCGCAACAAGAAAGCCTGCGAGATTCCCTTTAATTCCACGAATAAATATCAGGTGTCTATACACGAATCGGACGATCCCAATGATCCCAGGCATCTGCTGGTGATGAAGGGCGCTCCCGAGAGGATTCTCGACAGGTGCTCGACCATATTTATCGGCGGCAAGGAGAAGGTAATTAATATCCATACTCATCCGTTCCACCCGGTTCCCTTGCTGTCTCTTGCATCTTTCAACATTTGTCGGGTGCTTTCAGGTTCTCGACGAGGAAATGAAGGAGGCGTTCAACAACGCGTACTTGGAATTGGGCGGGCTCGGCGAACGAGTGCTCGGCTTCTGTGATTTCATACTGCCGTCCGACAAGTTCCCGGTCGGCTTCAAGTTCAACTCCGACGATCCCAACTTCCCGGTCGACGGGCTCCGCTTTGTGGGCCTGATGTCTATGATCGATCCACCCCGGGCCGCCGTACCCGATGCGGTCGCCAAGTGCCGTTCCGCCGGCATCAAAGTCATCATGGTAACCGGTGACCACCCGATCACTGCCAAAGCCATTGCCAAATCCGTCGGCATCATCTCTGAAGGTACGCCTTTCGCGCGTTAGGCGCCCGCGTCCATCCGTATCGTATCGATGCGGACTTAATCGCGATAACAGCGCGCTATCGGATGACGTTCGAGATTAGATACGCGCTGTCGCGCATCTCCGAGACCTCGTTCGTCGATCTCGATTATGACGCCTTTATGAGTTTAATCTCTTAATGAGACGTAATTTTAGATAATAGGCTGCGCTTGAGATTTACGACGATCCTATTTACACACGGAACTTAAACCGGGGCGATTTTATTAGAGGATACGCCAAGTTCGCGTTGTGAAAAAGCGTTGCGCAATAGCGTGTTTAGCTTTCCGATTCGCCGCTGCATATATGTATATTTTCATGACCGTCACTCGCTTTTTAACAATTTGTACGACATAAGCACAATGTAACGTGTTTGGAATTTGTAAACAAAATTAAACTAACAATACACACTTCTCTAATATTATTGCACAAAAGTGATCATCAATAGCTGCTTCGTTAATTCGTTAGAGAAGTCTATCTAAAACTTCAGGCGGCATTGGGTAGCTTTCCGTTCACGATCTAGCTGCTAATGCAATTTTATTAACGCTATTGTCACGTTCCCGACAGGTAACGAGACCGTTGAGGACATTGCGCAACGGTTGAATATCCCGGTGTCCGAAGTAAATCCTCGCGAGGCTAAAGCCGCGGTCATCCACGGAACCGAACTCAGGGAACTGAACTCCGATCAATTGGACGAGATTCTCAGGTACCACACCGAAATTGTGTTCGCCCGTACCTCGCCTCAGCAGAAGCTCATCATCGTCGAAGGCTGCCAGCGAATGGGTGCGATTGTCGCTGTGACTGGTAAGTTGTTTGAGGAAGAAGTTGTAACTCGGATGTTCCAGCAGCGAAGAAACCATTCAATTGGTGTTAAAATCCATTTGAAATTTTCCTCACTGAATTTAACGCGCGAATGAATGTCCGAATTATAATATTATAATTATTCAAGAGTGTTTCGTTGAGCGTTTACCCGATCGATTTATTCCAGGCGACGGTGTGAACGACTCGCCCGCTCTGAAGAAGGCCGACATTGGTGTCGCCATGGGTATCGCCGGTTCGGACGTCTCCAAGCAAGCAGCCGACATGATTCTGCTCGACGATAACTTTGCCTCGATCGTGACAGGCGTGGAGGAGGGTCGTCTGATCTTCGATAACCTGAAGAAATCTATCGCTTACACCCTCACCTCGAACATACCCGAGATCTCGCCTTTCCTGGCGTTCATTCTCTGCGATATCCCTCTGCCGCTGGGCACCGTCACCATCCTCTGTATTGATCTTGGAACCGACATGGTGAGTGGCGAAACGTCGTGTGGAAAAACGAATGGATCGAATCGAATGACGACTTTTCGAAGAGATCGCTCGCGTCTCTCGCGGAAGGCTCTCTTCCAAAGTCGCCACTCGATTCTCTGGCTAATGGAATTATTTCAGCGCCGTCCGTTATGACGTAATTGTACAGTCGCGAAGGCACAGCTGTTTCTCAAAGATATTCGGTAGCCTCTGACATTTATATTGATAGGTACCGGCGTGACATTATCAGAAATGGTGGACCCGATACCAGGACCGCGTGACGCGAATCGATAGTTGCTGGAAAACGCGCCCGACAATATCTCTTTTCTTTATAGATAGCATTTGAAGCAGGCAGAACGATGCAATTGATGGCCAGCAGCTGGTGCTCGTCGATTTAATATCTTTAATATTTTTATTTTCTTTTAGATAAATTGCTTGGGCGTTTAAACCGAGCGGGAAACACGAGCATATTCCGGATAAATTATCTTGCAGGAATTTTTAATTAAAAGTTGACGATATGCGTTGTAATATAATCAATTTATATCTGGTTAGGAGTTTATCGTCAACGAGCGATTAAGGATTAATATTTCTTTTCAGGAACTTTATCTCTGAGAAGATCCGCTTACTGTTTATCCGCGAGTCTCCTCTGAACTCCTTTATCTCCCAGAATCAGTTTCTTAAACGATTTAGTTTGTTTATTTTTCAGTTGATTATCTTTTGTTTATTTTCTATGCTTCATCGTGTGTAAGAATGCCGTCGGTGTCGAGCCAATTGTTTGTAATATCAATTTCTTGAGATGGATTTGGTGCCAAGATTATGACACAGAAGACTAATAGTTTCAAATTAGACGGTGTACCGACACGTCGGCATTCTTACTCCAACATCATCGGAAGACATACTCGTTATCTAATTGTTGGCGTTGTTACTGAGCTCTTTGATAATGTGACGTCAGGTACCCGCCATCTCGCTTGCCTACGAGGAGGCGGAGAGCGATATTATGAAGCGACAACCACGAAACCCCTTCACTGACAAGCTAGTTAACGAAAGGTAACACATCAACAACATACAACGAATATTGACAAGCTACGTCAGATTTTTATGGTTGGAAAGAGAGTTATCGGTGATGATATATTGTATTTTCGAAATCTCCGTCCGATTAACGAGCCAAATTTAGAATATTTTATTATCTTCCAAAATACCGAGAGAGAAGAACTTCGCTAATCCTTTCGTGAAAGCGCGATCTGCGAAAAATATTTCTTTCAACATTTTCAGAAAATCGGGCGGAGCTTCGAGAATTCGATCACACGGCGATCGCTCTCTCACTCTATTGGCTACATACTTCCTCTTTATTTCTATGGTGACTTGAGTAGCTAGTTCGTTCTATCTTCTATTATGCGACATAAAAGTTTGACGCGGAGAGACGACACGCATATATCTCAATTCACGCCTCTTTCTTTGGTTGCTCGTCGTTCGATATCTACATACGACAGGAACTGCGAACTACGATGACTACGATTCGCGGGCAAATTGATCCCTCGCGTGTAAATGTGCCTTTCTCCAGTATATAATATTTACGCGATCGAGACGTGAATTCTGTCGAGCAATATTTTAATCGTCACGAGTATCCTCGCAAGCGGTACGGAAGCTTCTTTTCTCCCGCTTCTCCTCCCTTCTTTCGAATTACGACTTGAATCGCCTTCGTCAAGGCCATTTCATATACAGTTCACGCGATGTGGGGATTAATTTGCCAAGCCTATCGCTCGAGTTGTCGGGTCGGACACGCTAGGACAAAACGTGGATAAGGTAACAACGGGAACATGGTGCACGCAGATGCAACGCTCTCCAGGGTGTTTGGTCGCTGGGACACGCGAGCTTTGTTTCCGATCTTCTCTTTATTCGTATCCTACACCTCGCTCTAACAATAAGCTGGATTAAATGCCATTCAGCGATGCTTGCTCGTCCGTGTTTTGTCGTCGCGTGCTTTTTTTTTCGCGGAATAATTCAATCAATCAAAATGATGATCAATCCGCACTTTAACGAGCAAAATTGAGTAACGGAAACGGAAATGATGTAGTCGTTGAATCATTTCCAAAATTCGATGCTCAAATCTTTTTCCTACGTCACTTTCGTATGACACACTTCTTTTTATATATTTTTTTTTCATCGTCGCGAGAGAAGGAAGACGATCGAACTACGTGACGGGCAATCGCGAACTCTTTTTTTCCTTTTCGAAGAATTTTCTCTTCCTTTTATATAACGGTCACAGGCGCTTCCGTCACGATGATTCCCGATCGTATTAGTGTTGTTTCATTACGCCGAAGGTAAGCCAACTCTCAATTCTAAAGCCTATAAATCTCTCTCTCTCTCTCTCTCTCTCTCTCTCTTCCTTCCTCTTCGGTTACACTTTATCTCTATATTCTTTCTCTCATGCCATCCTTCGTCGCGTCCTATCGCTATATGAATTTATGAGCCTTCCCTCCCCCCCCCCCCTTGAATCGTGACGCAAGTATCGTGAATGCAAGGGACACTTGTATACTGTGTTGTGAATATATTGTGTGATGTTTATCGTAAATGTGCAACTCGACTGTTATTCACTTGTTCGTTATATACCTTTGCGAATCTCTGCGTCGTCGTCAGTACGGAAGATACGAACGATAAGAAAGAGTTTCGCACGTTCCAGAAGCCCAAAGTGTGCTCTTG